TGTGTGTGTGTGTGTGTGTGTGTGTGTGTGTGTGTGTGTGTGTGTGTGTGTAAGAGAGTTTATTTTGGGCGTATGCTTGAGTTTATTCGTATACATTTTTGTGTTCGTCTAGACAAAACAAACCGATTTAATAAATAATAAATATAGCGAAGAGATCCGCTGACTATCCACTCATGGTACTACATAAAATTACGGTTGAATGGGTGACGGAGAGTTCAGGGGGTGGAGTGGCACATCTTCTACCATCCGGGCAACGCCCATTTCTTTAGCTTCGGATATCCCCCTGAGTCGCCGAAGCCATCGTAAGCATTCTTTCTGTTGACCTCCGCCTCCTCCTCATTCTCGAAGCTTTTGTTGCTCCTCCCGTCCCGCTCGTTGCCGCCCTCGTGGCTCACATTATCAAGGTGATCGTTGTTGTTGTTGTTGCTGTTGTTGTTGCCCTTTGACTGGCCATCGTAGTTGTTTGGCGTCGTTTTGGCACCGCCGGCTTGGAACGTTGACACGTCACTTCTCGCCCTGGGAAGGCCGTCCCCCATCTCTCTTCTTCCAGGCGGGTTTACGATCACATGGACCTGCATGCAAGGAACAAACAGAAGAACCTAGGTTAAAGTGTTGTCTTACAACAGTCGCATTAACTAAGTCTTTAACAAGAGCACCCCCACTCGCTGACACCCCTCCCCCCCTTCGGCAAAAAAAAAAAATCTCACATGTGTACTGAGGAGCGGGGCACAATCTTACCCCCAAAACAAACAAACAAACAAAAAAACAAACAAACAAACAAAAATAAACCCAACCCCCCCCTCCCCCAAAGAACAACAACAACAAAATGAATCAGAATATCCTCACCCCTGATCCCATGCCCTCCCCTCCATATCTCACTTGTGTTACGTAGATGTTGCCACAACGCAACCGCTCCAAAACAAACAAACAAACAAACGAACGAACAAAATTAAACAAAAATGAATAAGAGTTTCACCCTCTCCCTGATCCCAACCCCACCCCACCACCCCCATCCACTAAAAAAGAAAAAAAGTCTCACCTGTGTAGTGCGAAGCGGAGCGCAGCAGCACGCCACTGAGGCGCTCACGATAGCTATGATGATCTCCAGGGCCGCCAGAAAAGTGACCAAAAGGGACAGCAACCACTGCAGGCTGGTGTGGTCCAGGTTATGCCGCTGTGGAGAAACGGAAAGACGTACAGTCGTGGTTCGAGCCTCAGCTCGGTCCGACTTTGTGTCTTTGGGAGGCTGGTGTCTACAATGACGACTTTTGTTCTTGAAATTGGGTTGTCTTTTGGGACAACAACACTTGTACTTTTTAATGGAGCAAAATTTTCCATTTGGCTCTGTCCTTTCGGAGATGAACGTTACACTCTGAGGTCCCGCCTCCTAATAACCTAACAGTGTTGAGAGAGGCGTTAAACCAATACCATTTTAAAAGTACAGTCGTCGCTGTCCAGAAAGACAACCCAATGTCAAGGACGTTAGTCGTCATCGTAGACAAGTCGCTACCTCAGAATTACAAAGTTCTAACAGACATTTTTGGCTCTTCTGAGTTACTAAGACCGTAACGTCAGAAACAAATAATTATGTTCTATCTGCTGTATTAAAATTGTGAGATTATTCAGTGTCGTTATCAACATATTTAAAGAATTGCATTTGAAAAAACATGTTGTGAAACATAAAATCTTTGACGTTGAATTTTTAAAAACTAGATCTAGGTGCTGAGCAGAAATAACTTTGTATTTCTGAGGAAGTGAAGTGATTCTCTTGGAAATTGTAAGGGTAATAATATAAAATAAATACAAGGACGGAATTAGGGAGTGCCTGTTTGTGCAGGGGATTGTCCTAGACAGGTGGTCGTTAGAGTAGGTTCGAGGGAACACCCCCTCCCACCCCCCCTCACACCTTTGCTCATCACGACAGTCATAGTCCCGCTGTCTCTTGCATCTGCAAGACCTATTGTCTACTACTACACTTTGACCTCGCTTTGTGAACATGGATGTTGCGAGTCAGGTCAAGCAGCTCAAAACGTGTGTTTGCATGACTTGTGTAAAAACAGAAAAAAAGGGGGGGGGGATTGGAGGGGAGGTGGTTTCTACGTTTGCAAGGGCTAGATTGACTGTGTACTATTACGGTCGCCGCTCTTTATTCTGTATGACAAAAACTTCAAATTACGGCACAGGGCTCGATGTTGGATCGAGTCTTTCTTTATTTGATAAATGTTTTACGACGCTCGCAACTGCATAAGGTTATTTGAGCGCGCGAAACACATTAAACATATATAGGTATGGTAGGAATTAATGTTTAATTTTGCTCGGGTAGCGGCCGAAGCCTACTCTTATCGATTTTGGACCACCAAGGGTTATTCAAGGTGCGAAACTTGGACACGGCCCTCCCAGACATTTCGCCCGTATTCGAGAAGACGAGGTGTTAAATCTTACCTACTCAAAGATCAGGGGTGTGGCTGTAAAACAGCAGTAAGAAGGAGCTAGGAGTAGCAGTAGAAAGGCTGAAAAAAAATCAGGAGCTAAGAGGAGGGGGGAAGGGGGAGGGACAGAAAGTGGAGAATAAAGCAGGTGATAGAACATGGTTAAAGAGCAGGAAAGGAGGTGAAAGGAGAACATTTTAGAGAGGAAAATTTCCCATTGTTGTCAGGTTTCGAACGTGTAACCAGTTGACTGAGAGGCGACCACCGTAACCCCAAGGCCACGAGAATCTCCCCCCCCCCCCTGGATCAAGTTTGCTTTTACCATCCTGGGAAGGGATCTCGGAAGCAATGTTAGCTCAGACCCCAGAAAGCATGCTAGTGTCAAATCACTACCTCAGAATTACAAAGTTCTATCTACTCAGTACGTAGTTTTGATAAATTTGACGTCAAAGATTTTGAGGTTCACATCATGTAAAAATTTGACAAATACAATTCTTTGAATGTCTTGATAATGACTCTGAATAACTTTCAGATTTTGATAGAGCAGAGAGAATATTTGGCTTTTATCTCATTGTCATAATAACTCAAAACGACCAAAAATGGCAGATAGAACTTTGCTATAATGAGGTAGCGAAATGGTGCGCTCCACAGTGAACCAGAAATAAGTCATTTTGCACGACTAAGGATACTGATACAAGAATGCAAGTCTGTGCGTTTACCACGCAGGAGAGGAATCCCGGAATGAATTTTGTTGCAGACCCTAGCAAGGCATTTCAAATCCAATATAATGCACTAACCGGGGCCCCTTTCGATGAAAGGAATGATCGGTGCATTAACGTCAACTGAAAGTCATTGGCCTACTATATTTACATTCTACAGGATTGCAGCGATGAATTTTTAGAGAAAAGTGAAACATGTGTTTCCAAGTTGCCAAATATATGAATAGGTGCAAAGATAGTACAAGACAAGATGGGCCACTTCTCTCTTTGAGCCAATTAAAAAAGTGTCCTCAAAATTTGGTGGCGCCCTCTTCACAAAAGCGCACTCTT